TGTGTGTGTGTGTTGGTGTGGTGGAGGTGGGGGGTGATAATGAGAGATTTTCAAATTAGAATGGATGGGCTCTTGAAGGGAACAACAGGATTCCAGGCGACCAAATGTAAGTAATTAAATAAAATAGGAGCTGCATGGTGTGAAGAATAAAAAAAACAGAACTGGCCTTCCCGGGATCCCATCACCAATTAAATGTTGAATATTTGTTGGACATTTGGATGAAGCAGAGTTGTTTCCTTTGTTGGTTTTTATGCCCTGTAGGTGAGTTGTGTCAATGGATTGTGTTATGGAGTCTCTCGGAGCACATTCATTTTATTGACTTTAGTAAAGTAAATCCCAGTGTGCTCTTTACTGCTTTTTAATGGCACAAAAACATTATTATGAAAATCAGCAGCACTTTCCAATTACCTAAAAGGAAAGAAGGGCAGCATTCAGGCAGCAATACACAAACTGAAGTCAATTCATCGTTATTATAATGTTTCCAATAATTTCATTTCACAAGGCTTTTAGCACTTTGATCATAAAAAAAAAAGCATGTGTGTCTGTTAATTAGAATTTCCTGCAGATAATTAATGTTTATTCTAAGGGACAACTCATTTAATTCACCACAGTGTTTAGTTTGGAGTGTCAGTTAAAATAGAGTAAATGCTAATCGTAGATGTACTACTGAAATGAACTTCCTGAAAACAGTACCTGAATATTACAAGCACATGGATTAAAATACTTTACTGATTAGCTACCACCATGGTCCTGCTTCCTGGATTGCTCTAACCGTGATGAACACAGAAGGGAGTCTCAGAAACACTTGCCAATTCATCCCCACAGATGTCATGCAAAAATTTAAATCTGTCAAGATAATGTACAGATTTAATAATTTAACATGAACTATTCAACTTGTCCAAGTTTAAATGTCTTTAGGATGAAGTTTATGCATTGCTTTCACAATCAGCACACATGTTCTCTCTGTCTGTTTCTTGCCGTCTCTCCTCCCCTTCTTTCTCTCTCTCCTCCTCCCTCTCTGTGCAGGATCCATAACCAGTGCTTGATCCAGGTCAAGCCCCTGTGTACTGCAATGTATCACAGCAGACACAGAAACCTTATCAGCAGCCTGGTCTGCCCTCGTCTCGCTTTATTCCTGCTCACAATAATCTTGCTACCAGTTCCCCACATCTGTCCCATAGTGCAGCCATGCATTTCATACTATTGAGGATGTTAATTATTTAGCTTCTTCTTCATTTTCCCTAGTTGTACACTTGTGCATTCATATAAAACATTTTTTTTCCTCCATTCACTGACTCCTCCTCTCTTCCTCTACTGTTTTATCCCCTCAGCTGATCTACTGACAGTTCCTCCCGACTTGACAAATGCAGCGGCCATGTATCGTGGTCCCGTCTACGCCCTCCACGACGTTTCAGATAAAATCCCGATGACCAACTCACCGCTCTTGGACCCTCTTCCGAACTTGAAAATCAAAGTCTACAACTCGTCTGGTCTGGTCACACCGCAGGATGACCTCGGAGGAGACTTCACGTCCAAACTGTCTCCCAAGGTATTTGCGGCCGTTGTAACTAACCTATAACTGATGCCGGTACATTTCTCTTCTGTAAAGTATTCTGTATGAGGAAGGAGAGATTGTTATACATTTCCCACTACAGGATCACAATGAGCAGTAGTGAAACACTCTAGTTATGTATTACCCATCACATAAATATAAAAGCAAACACCATTAGTAAACATGCAGCTCAGTGCCCCAGTTTCCTCCTGCTCTGTCAACTAAATGGTGTGCATACCAGAGTCAGTTGTCACAAATACAGATGAAACTGCTCGGTATCATCCCAGCACCTGTCCTGAGGCAGTACCACAGCTGAACTCACTATATTTGAGCTCCGTGGATCAGTGGCACCTTTGATGATTTTATCTATTATTACTTTTAACTGCATGTCACCCTTTTGAACCGCTGCAGTGTGGAATGACTGACTTGCGTCACCAATTGAAGGATTTATTTTTGCAGATATTTGTTGAAGCAAATTCTTGTCTGGTTTGGTGTGATGTCGGAGAAAACTACTGAATGTTAAGACCTTATTTTACATCTCACATTGGACAGTTTGACGAAAGAAATGCAAAGTAGGAAATGTTTTACCACCTACCCTAAGGTGCTTTCATAGGTCTATTGTAAATCCACCCTCCTCTCACAGACTGCCAGCTCAGCCCTATGGCAGCGCTTCCAGGCAGATGCGGATCTTCCCCTGTAGCATTTGAGTTAATGGTTACCGAGAAAACATGGCATTTTGATGAATGCGGTGAAATTCAAGTAGAAAAGGGAGCATTTAATATTCTCCTTTCAATGCTTGCCTGATGAAAATAGAACTAGAATGACCCGTACAACCAGAGGTCGGCCTTTCACACCGAAACTTCTCTGGACCTTCTTGAACTTTTGGTTTCTTTAGAATACATCTAGACTGTGCTTCACATCAGCTTTGTCAGGAGGAACCGTACCACATTGATTTTCTGCACACACACACACACACACACACCACACACACACACACACACACACACACACACACACACATATATACATATATATACAATAATGCATAGATTATCTTTTAACCTCCACAGAGGATAGGTGCAGCTTTCTGCATGAGGGTTCACACTATAGTGATACAAACTCAGCAGTCTAAAGTACCATTCAACATTCATAACCACAGAGCTACAAAAAATACACAGTTCATTCTCACAAAGCTCTGACAGGAAAACGACTTTGTCTCAATTGGAATACGACTTTAACATTTTATTAGAATTCAAGGTTTTTTTGTCATTGTTTGTCACAAGCATCATTCATCTGTTAAAATGAATCTCATGAGCTACGATTTAATTGAGGTTAACAAACTGATTTTGTACGGTGAAGGCCAATCTGTTCCTTTTTAACACTCTCCCTCAACCAAAGCCAAGTCATTGATTCTTTAGTGAGTTTTAATTACAACCTCCAGTTGATCTAGTCTCTGCTGATATGCAACATCAATTTCAAGTTGTATTGCCTCTGATTTATTTTTTCTTATTGTCACTCTCTTGTGTATTTTCATTCCCAGGTCACTCAGTCTCTTTTGGATCACAGTGACACTATGAACCTCCGCAACCAGAGCTTAGCCCGAACACGAGACCCCTCCTGCACGGCTCACGGGTCCTTCAACAACCAGGGAGGACACCTCATCGTGCCCAACTCTGGTAAACTTAGTGTTTTACAAACATTTAATAACCAAACATGAATCTGGTTAATGTTGATTGATCATTCAGTGACTTGGGTGATCTCTCCAGTGAACTTATTCAATATTGGGTTTATAGATCCAGGAACATTTGTTAGTAGTAACAAATAACAAATTATATGACAGCATTACTTGAGGTATTTAGACCCCTTTATTGGCTAAAATCCTCTTAATTCATATTTCCTCAATGATAATATAATTATATATAAAAAAATATTTTTTGATTTGTTTTGATAATTTATTTTAAAAAGTGAAATACATAGACATGAATATTCAGACCATTTACTCAGTACTTATATTTGAAGCACATATGGCGATTACAGCCTGGAGTTTTCTTGGTTATGATGCATCAAGCTTTTCACACTGGGATCTGGGGATTTTCTGCTGTTCCTCTCAGCAGATCCTCTCAAGCTCTTTCAGGATGGATGGTGACTGTTGGTAGACATTTTCAGATTTCTCCAGAGATGATCAGAACTCTGGCCTGACCACTCGATGACATCTACAGCGATGCCACTCCTGTGTTATCTTAGCTTTGTGCTTCGGCTCATTGTCCAGTTTGATGTCGAACCATCAACCCAGAGTGAGATCCAGACTGGTTTTTATTAAGGCTATCTCTCTACTTTGCCCTGTTCAGCTTCAGCCCTCAATTCTGGCCAGTCTCCCTGTCCCTGCTGCTGAAAAACACCCCCACAGGATGATGCTGCCACCAGCATGCGTCACCGTTGGGATGGTATTAGGCAGATGATGAGTGGTGCCTGGTTTCCTCCAGACATGACGCTTAGAATTGAGGCCAAACAGTTCAATCTTTGTTTTCAGGCCAGAGAATCTTGTTTCTCACAGTCTGAGAGTTCATTAAGTGCTTTTCTGCAAACTGTCTTTTACTGAGGAGAGGTTTCTGTCTGGCAATTCTGCCATGAAGCTAAAATTGATGGAATGTTTCAGTGATGGTTTACGTCCAGGAAGTTTTTCCCATCTCCACACAGCATCTCTGGAGCTCCGACACAGTAACCATCAGGTTCTTGATCACCTCTTTTGTCAAAGCCAATCTCCGTTGTTTCCTGTTTGGCTGGGTGACCACCTCGAGGAACAGTCCTTCTTGTTGCAAACTTCTAGAATTAAAGGGGCCAATGTGCTCTGGGGAATCTTTCTGTAGCCTGCCCCAGATCTCCACACAACCCTGTCTCTGAGCTCAGCAGGCTGTTCCTTTCGAATCCCTGGCTCGGCTGTCAGCTGTGAGATCTTGACAGAAATGTGCCTTTCCAAATAATATCCCATCAATCGAAGCAGGACTGTAATCAGTCAGATGTAAAGCATCGCAAAAATGATCGAGAGAAATGGGTCCAAGCTAAATTTGTCATAGCAAAGGGTCTGAATATTTCATTACATTTACTACACATGCTGGAAGCAGTTGACCAATCACAGCACAGTGGGTCAACTGGTCAATCAGAGCAGACTGGGCTAGGCTATGTCTCCTTTAAATAAATTAACAAAAAACTCAGAGGGGATGCGGTGTACATCAAACTTCCTAATGAGAAGTATTACAGATTCAAACATGATCAAATCTATTTTTAAAAACTGAACACATAAACTTATAGCATCTAGCTACGACTGAACGGTTCAAATATTACACACAAAAGCTTTGGGGTGTTCTCTTGCTTCCTAGATTTAAAGGAAAGAAAAACTTTCAGTAGATTTATGTTTGGATTTAAAAGCAGCAGGCAAAAAGAATGAATAATAGTGAGTTCTGCTGTGATCTGTGGGTGCAACATAAACTCCTGATAGGAAGCAGCTCCAAGAAGCTATAAAACATCACAGCACAATTCATCGATGATATATTTAAGAGAAAGTTTTACACGATTTGCCTTTAACAATGATCACTCAATAATTAATCATCATGATAAAGTGATAATAGGTTTGGCCTTCAATAATTCATTTGTGCATGCTGAAATTAATAAATCCAGTGATGAAAAACTCATTATTTCTGCCTCCATCCTTCCTGCTTCCCCTGTTGTCCCTGCAGGTGTGAGCTTGTTGGTTCCAGCGGGGGCCGTTCCTCATGGTCGGGTGTACGAGATGTATGTGACTGTGCACAGGAAGGACAGCTTGAGGTAAGTTTTGTCTCTATTCCCCTCAGTTTTCTTCTCTGTGACTTTGTTTTCCTCCCTTTCGTTCCCTGTTGTCCCCCTTTTTTATCCTTCATCTCCGCATCTCCCTCTGCGGGTTTGTGTTTATTTGTTTCCCTTTATCTTTTTTTTTCTCTTGTAGAGCAGCTTCTAAGACCTGTTTGTATAGTTTCCTGGGGAGGCTTTCACAGTGTGACACAGGCTCCGGATGCACAGAAAGGGAGGAATAATAATTATTCATTCAGTACAGTTTATCCAAGCACACCTTCCTTTGGTTACTCACAGAGCAGAGGGCAGTTAATGCCTTAAAAGGGAATATTCGACACATTGATTATTACCTACTTAACATTATAGTCTGAACAATCCACATCATTTACAAAGTTAATGACTATTTTTCAATCAGTGCTATTATCGAAATCCAAATGATGTTGAATTCAATGAGACGAGAGGCAGATTTGTTTGCACTTCATATTCTAGATCCAAGAAAGAAACAGGGAGCATTTGAAAGCACGTGTCAAGAGATCACTGTTTCCACAGTGACTAACAGATTGATGGCTATTTTTGGGTTAGGGTACAATAATCCTTTTCTGTCAAAGCATGTGCATGATTGAGACAAAGCTTTGTGTTGGACATGACAGGCAAAAGATTTCTATTCTCCCGCTGTTGTCTCACAAAAAAACCTGGTATATGTTTAAAGCACATACAAATGACCACGTGTCCGCATGACCAAACAAATGTCAAAGGATTATGACATATTTAGAGTCATTTGAGAGAGAGAAAGAGATTTATTTTGGCAGATTTATCTGCATTAAAATCCACTGTCCCATCAAATTCATATAGTTTTGGAGACATGCATTCGTCTTCAGTCTATTTCCCCTAAAAATCTATAACAGCAACTGAACATGTTGAATTTAATATCTGTATAATATATCTGTAGAACCAAACATTTTCTCACATGCAAATTTGGGTTTTATTTGCCGTTTTTTAAATATCTGAGTTTTCCACACAGCCCTGTAAAATAGAGGTAAATCAATCTTGTTAGTTTCTCACTTGATAATCTACTTAGTTTGCCATCACAGGGGCTACTTCTTCAGAGGAGAATAGTTCCTGTGAATCCTGTTTGCAGCAAGGTCTGTGCATCACGCAGTGTAACAAGGAAACTATTTTTCAAGCTGTACATTGCTTTTGACTCTTTGAAATAAACGTCAATGCTGTCAGCACTACAAGCCAAATTCCATTTACGGGCACTGTATTGATTGGTGATAGCGGGATACGCTCTTAAACAGCAGTCTCAAAAACTGAGCCGATAAAACCACAAGCGTCTGCATGGATGCCAGGTTAATCGAGGAAGTATGTTCTTTGACAATTCTGGGTGAGCCAACTTTTAAAAGCAATAAAGGGGGTTGAGCTTTAGGACAGTTTTATTCATGTATTTGACCTAATGCATCCATTGTAGCTTCTCCTCGATCAACATCAGTCAATAAGAATTATCGCCCCTGCTGTGTGCTATAGTATTTCTAGAAAGTCAAACCTCTTCACTGTCAGAGCCTTCCTCTGTCTTCCTCTCAGTCAATAGCTGGATCACAAATATCACATTGACTTACCTCAGCAACACTGCACACGCCAGAATCATGTGGTTTAGCTGATTATGCTCTAACCCTCAGGTGTCAGTTCCCCCGCATGCTCAACTTAAAAAAGATCTATTAGCTCTATTTAAATGATAAAGATACATAACATTACCAATCAATAATGCTGTAATTCATTAAGAGGCATCCTCAGCGATAGCTAAGTCGGAGGGGTTGCCGGTCCAGTTTAAGTCATGCTATTTTCATCTGTTAGCTTCTCATGTGAACCCTTCATGAGTCAATAATGAGCTCCAGCGGTTGAATCGATAATACTGCAGAGGATTAGTGCCCCCCTGACACAAGGTGGGCTGAAAAAAAAATGACACAGTTAAAATTTAGAACCATGTCCTCGATCTATATGGACTCAGTCAATGTATATCTTCAGCACCACGAGGGAAAACAATTAATGGATAATGGATTGCATTGGAGAACACATGTAATCATTTCCTCGTGTATTGTTGAGTTTTTGTTTCAGCAACTAAACGTTGAGGGATAATCGCCCGTTTATTCACAGTTGAAGAGCTTGAAGTGTTCTGATGTTTTAACAACAGGTTCCTGTGTGTCTGTGGTAAAACACAGGTGAATTTGTGCCCGGTGTTCATTTATTTTCTGCCCATGGGCTGTGAACTACTGACTCCAGCTGAGGCCGATCTGAAGCCCTGCTGACTACACTAATAATCCTCTAACTGCATTTGTGCCGCTCTGCTCTGATCTGCTTTGTTCTGTGATTTTCTCATCCACTTGGATCAAGTCTATCCCTCTGTAGTGTTTCTATCCACCTGTCTTTTTTATTATGAGCAGCCAAGCCTTTCCATATATAAACATTATGACAAAATAGCCATTGATATGTGAAATCAATACAGCTTTCTAAAGTTGATCCTCATACTAATTGGTATAGCTAACAGTGCAGCCCTCCTGCCGCTCTGTTCTAAAGAATAATTTTACCTTGGTGTTATCTGTCGTTTGCAGACCTCCGGTAGAAGACATCCAGACGGTGCTGAGCCCTGTGGTGAGTTGCGGGCCACCAGGAGCCCTGCTGACCAGACCGGTGATCCTCACCATACACCACTGCGCCGACGATGTCCAGGAAGACTGGCTCATACAGCTGAAGAATCAACTGGCCATGGGAGAATGGGAGGTGAGTGTTCGCCACTGCATCTTTAATTTATGTGTTTTTGTGTATTGAGCTCTGTTCTTAGTGAGTGAAAATGTGCATACCAAAGTTAATAACGGGGTTCCTCAGGGTTCTGTGCTCTACCCAATTTTATTTACCTAATTTATGCTTCCATAGAAAATATTATCAGCAAACCCGACAATATCCGGTTATACTTTTCTATAAAACCAGAAGAAAGTGATCGACTAACTAAACTCCCAGCATATTTTAAGAACATAAAAACCTGGATGACCTGCAGTTTTCTCCTGTTAAACTCAGACAAAACAGAAGTTGTAGTACTTGGCCCTGAACACCCCAGAGATGCATTATTTATCGATGTAGCTACGCTGGATGGCGTCACCATTGGTAGTTTTTTTCACTCTTGCTGATGGTTAAGTGCAAAGGACGTTGCACATTTTTAAGCCATATGAAACAAATTGTTATTTTTGAATAAGGGCTATACAAATAAAGTTTGATTGATTGATGAGCTTTTGAATTCCACTACTTTAACCTTTAGAGAGAGGAGCAGTCACATTTCCGAAACTAGATGGGTGCTAAGAGAAGGTGTACCTCTGTCAAGGCTAACGCCCAATTCTGCCATTTTGAAGAAAATGTGAAAAAATAACCTCGATACAAACCTTTGTCTGGATCTGCATCAAAATTGAATGGGTTCTTTCTTCGCCTATGCCCCATCCTTCCACCAAGTTTAAATTTGTAGTTTCTGTGTTATCCTGCTGAAAAACCAAACAAACCAAGCAACAAACCAACCAACAATGAGACATCAGATGGAGGTAAAAATACAGATAAATATACATTTACAGATACATTCACAAGCTTATGTGTGAAAAGCTGAACAAATCTAACATGAAATAGTCTCTATATGCATGTATCTGTGTATATGTAATGTCTGCACACAGACTACAGCAAATTATTAATATTCACGAATCAGCCACAGCATTACAACCAGTTAGCAGTTATGTTGCGGCTCATCAGTGTTCCCAGTATGACTCTAACAGCTATTTTTACGTGTGCTCCCATACATTATCAACTCCAACCTGAGGAACAGCTCGCATCAGACACACACATACACACACACACACACACACAC